TACTTTTAGTTGGACAATATACATATTTTAAATTAACCTGCTAAGGTTATATGACAATCTATAGAGTTACCATATCAGTATTTAAAAACAGATAAATAAAGAAGTAAAGACAGATATCTTTTTATCACTTGGTTTCTTTCCTGCTTTCGGAGCATCAAAGTGAAATTCTATTTCGAGTGCTGTATAAATTACCAGTTCTAGTTCAGAAAATAAACTTGTCTTTGACAATATTTCAACCAATGGGAAATGTCAAACAGTTTTCAAATTAAAAATAATAGTCACAACAATTTACTACTCTGACATAAATTAGCAGCTTATCAAGACGAGCAAGTTTAGAAGATTGTAAGAACGTCAGCTGAAAATAACAGTAAAATTAAGTCAACGGCTGCATATTTTCTAGGCTTTAAAAGAATAAGAAATGAAGTGAAGTTGTTTGTTCTGGATAGCATGCAAACCACACTAACTGTGCTATGCATAAACTTAATTTACACAGTACACTCATTAAAGTGCATAAAACTTAATTTATAAAAAACAAACAAACACAAAAAGCATGAATGCAGTCACTTAGCAAACTATCAGAATCCATTCCAGTTTTTGTATTGTTTTTAGAGTGGTGTCTATTACACTTGTGCAAAAATATGTTTGGAGCCATCCATCAAAACCAAGTTCCTATTAAACACCTAGAAATCGATCCATCCAGGATTTACTTGTGAAGTCTTATTCATTGAATAAGACTTAATAGGTGGATTGATTCATTCTGAAGTAGATTAAAATTAATTTGGCTTGGAGGAATTGCTCCAAGCAAATATTTGCACAAGTTTAGTGTCCATTTGTTTCATAGATTATACTTGCTAATTCTGAACTATATACTACAGAAGTACCTACACAGTATCAATTAATGGAATTTGCCCACTAAAGGCTTTGTAGGCATTGAGATGCAGATTGTAATGGCCTATTATTTTGGCATTTGGGATATAAATAAAAAGATTGACATAACAAGAGGATGGGACACAATACACAGAATCTGTCTGGCACCATGACATTGTGGCTCTTCATTTCCACCTACTTTTCAATCTCACAAAAAAATCAACTTCTGCTTAATCATATCCACAGCATATGCACAAAATTAAGTCATATACAGAAACTGCAGACAGAAAAAAGGTTTTTGCAGAATCACTGAGCATGCTGCCTATTCAGTTTCCTCATTCACACCAACCACACACTCACATCTCCAACTCCTTTTCCATTCATGCAAGCTATATACTGACACACACCATTACATTTTTAAGGCTGTGACCATCCATGCTGTAAGTACATCGCAACATGAGTCAAATGTGCATGCTGCCATCGTAACTATTCATTTTAACCTTGCATCATTTATTGATGTAGAATCATGTGATGTTGTATATCATTTATACCCAATGGATTGACAATAGTGGGGAGCACCCAGCCTAGTCATTTCCTCTGAATTTACCTGTGCTCTATAGATTAGCAGTTAGAATTTGCAACAATCTAAGTATATCTCAACAACTTTTATTACTGATATACAACTATTGGTAAACTAGTGCTTCGTTACAATAGTGGACATGCACTGACAAAACTATGGATTCACATGATTGTTTTAGGAAGAAATAATTGTTATTTCTTTGCAAAATGTATTTAAGTCGCACAAACCCTTGTTATAATGAATAATGCATACCTATATTTCAGTAAATGATTGCTTCTTTATTTATAGCATGATTCATTGTGTTTGTTTTATCAAATAATTTAATTCAGCAATTATAGGAAAACTAAATGAAGCATTATGCAACCATTGTACAACTTAAATACAAGATACATTTATTATAAAAATACAGTCACAATGTACACTAACATATTATATTAAGCACAACTATAATGAATTCATAATGTTTGAACACAAATTAAGTACTCACTGTGTAAGACATTAAAAATAACAATAGTTATATACATAAGTATAAATATAAACTATATAGTCAGATATTTAATTGTATTCATTCCCTTTATTTTAAATTTGTATTTAATATTTCCTGATTTAACGTGACAAGCTTTCTATTAGCAAAACATTTTTTGGTATTTAACTGATTGACGTTGATAATAAACACTCTTGAGTTTCAACATCGTTTACATAATGTGAATAAATAATTCTTGTAACATACATCACCAATAAATCCCAGTTTAAAGCACTTTCCAAGTTTGCAACAAACTAGTAAAAGGCCTTCTAGACCACATCCTGGTAGTCAGATCTCTCCTTGGAACAAGAAGCTGTTACTCAACATATTAAAAATTATATCTTTGAATATTATGTTTTTAAAAGTATTCATCAAGTTGCTGTTAAACGTTTATACAGACTCTGATAAAATCACCTCTTCAGGCAGAGGATGCAGAATCCTTATTGTTGTTACTGTAAAAAAACAAAAAACCATTCCTTTGCCTAAGGCTACCATCAGGCGGGGCAGTAAAACCCCTACAGATATAAAAGGCCCAGACCACCTGGGGGCCTGTCGAAACCGGGCCCTATATGCACAGTATGTATATGTGTGTGTGTGTGTGTGTGTGTGTGTGTATATATATATATATATATATATATATATATATATATATATATATATTAGTGTAGATTGGATTGGCCGTATTAGTCCAGTAGACAAAATGCCAAAATACCAGAGTATTGCAGTATGTAATGATACCTTTTTTATTGGACTAACATAATATTTTAAAGACAAGCTTTCAAGCGTTTTCCTCTCTTCTTTAGGTCTGAAGCAATACTGATCAATCTGAATTTAACACTTAAAACAACTGATCTTAGAGAAGTATAGGGAGTGAGAGTGAGTGGGGTGTCATGAATCACAGAAGATGTGCCTGGAAGTGAAAGGTGTAGTTTGGCTGAGAACAGACAGAAAAAAGTAAACAAACAAACTAATGGCATGGCTGTGATTGGCCAGTGCAGCATGTGAGCCAGCCTCTATATATAAGCTGGAGTCGCGTAGCGCCACACGTCACATGAGCTCTTATTAGTGTAGGGAGAGGATGCTGCAGCTGTGAGGGACAGATTAGGAAAGAATGCTGGTGTTGAATCTGCAAGATACAGCGATTATTCAAACTACAGCGATTATGTTTGTGGGTGCTATAATACTACATTATTGTACCCTGCCCTGAGCCCAGTGCCACAGAGAGTGCAGTGCACTTGCAACTGCATGTGTGCCAGGCACATTACTTTAATCCTGTTCTGGTAGCTCAGTGGGCAACATCTAGGCATTTTTAGATACTGCAATTTTTTTGGTGCTAAATAGTACATTTACGGCCTTCGGTGCACTTCATATCTGAGAGTCAAATAGAACCGTCAAATACTGTGCTTACATTGCAGTTTTAAACATTCAAATTCTTTAGGTGCTAATAAGTTAATTTGGGGCCTGCAGTTCTTATATGAGAGTCAAACAGAACCGTCAAATACTGCTGTGACATAGCAGTTTTAAACATTCAAATTCTTTAGGTGCTAAAAAGTCAATTTCATGCCTGCACTTTATATCTGAGAGTCAAATAGAACCGTCAAATACTGTGCTTACATTGCAGTTTTAAACATTCAAATTCTTTAGGTGCTAATAAGTCAATTTGGTGCCTGCACTTCATATCTGAGAATCAAATAGAACCGTCAAATACTGTGCTTACAGCACAGTTTTAAAAATTCAAATTATTTTGCTGCTAAATAGTACATTTGCAGCCTGTGGTGCACTTCATATCTGAGAGTCAAATAGAACCGTCAAATACTGCTGTGACATAGCAGTTTTAAACATTCAAATTCTTTAGGTGCTAACAAGTCAATTTCATGCCTGCACTTAACATCTGAGAGTCAAATAGAACCGTCAAATACTGTGCTTACATTGCAGTTTAAAACATTATAATTCTTTAGGTGCTAACAAGTCAATTTGGTTCCTGCAGTTCATAACTGAGAGTCAAATAGAACCAGCAAATACTGTGCTTACATTGCAGTTTAAAACATTCAAATTCTTCAGGTGCTAAAAAGTCAATTTGGTGCCTGCACTTTATAGCTGAGAGTCAAATAGAACCGTCAAATACTGCTGTGACATATCAGTTTTAAACATTCAAATTCATTAGGTGCTAAAAAGACAATTTGGTGCCTGCACTTCACATCTGAGAGTCAAATAGAACCGTCAAATACTGTGCTTACATTGCAGTTTTAAACATTCAAATTCTTCAGGTGCTTAAAAGTCAATTTGGGGCCTGCACTTCAGATCTGAGAGTCAAATAGAACCATCAAGTACTGTGCTTACAGTGCAGTTTTAAAAATTCAAACTTTTTGGCTGCTAAATAGTACATTTGGGGTGTGCACTTCATATCTGGTGTATGTGTGCAACACTGGCTAGTTACCGCTTCTCAAGAAAGTCTAAAGACTTTTTAAAACAGTGAAAAATAAATGTTATTGTGATAGCTTCATATACAGAAGCATTAATATACATTTCTATATTGTGTAAAGACACAACTACAAAGGTAAAACCCAAACAGCAAAACAACATGGAATGAAGGTCATTTGAGTGATGTGTGCAGTTTGGAGGAAGAGGCACTGGTCGCACAGAGGCACCAGCACAGCATAACAGGGAGCAGGGTGCAAAAGCGGAGCGGCCGTCCCCTAGCACTCGTCGGCATGTATAATTTGTAGAATTCCCACAGTTATCCATGTAACAGATGGAGCGATAAAAGGAACCATAACAGATTTAACGAGCCATTCGCAGTTTCACAGTCAGTAAGGGGGTAGTCCGGTGACCTGGACCCAGACACTGTCTGGGCGGTGGTCGGACGACCGGGACCCAGTATGCCTGATGTTGAAGTTAGGAGTAACAATGTGGAATGGATTAGCAGGGTCTGGTGCAGGGTAACCGCACGCCCCCCTGGTGTTGAGCACCAGTGTTTGTGCGGCCACATACCAGGACCCCGATGCAGCTTCAGCGAGCAGCAGCAGGCGATAGTGGAGTTACAGGTCAGTCGCTCTGCACCAGACTTGCCCTCCAATTGATCCAAGTTAAAGGATTTAAAGTGGACGCATTACAATTACAGAGCCTCAAAAGTGTAGTGTATTGTTATTTGTCGTCACTACCTCCCCGCGTAGGGAGTGGGTAATTTGCGCGCCTGCTGCCTTCCTTGCATGTGGTAGCCGTTTATCAGGCTCCCTGTCTGGATTCGAACCCTGATTCCCCTTTGCCCATGGTCACGATGGTAGGCACGTAAAATAGCATCGAAAGTTTATAGGGCAGGCATCTGAATGCATTGTCGCCATCACGGGGATGTGCGATCAGCACAAGGTTATCACAGACAAGCGCAGCTGCCTGTCCACAGCCAACGTGAACAAGCTCACATTTATTAAAATGAACCAGGCATGGATCCCACCAGACTTGTCTGTACCTTGTGCAGAATTGACATTTATACCGGCCTCACCCAGCCATTGTTATACTCAATTGCACTTATTCTTTTTTTTCTTTTTTTATATGTCCCAGTATTTTGGGGGCTACCCCAATTAAAAAAAAATAATAATAAAAAACAGTGTTGGCTACCTCCTCCTCCTCCACTGCCACCGCTTCCACCTACACCGCCACGGTGTATACCCAGATATATCAGAGCTGCTGCAGAAAGTGCGGGCCGTCTCTTGCGCTTTTGGCATTCTCACCCTGCTGCTGCTCGCCTGGCCAGCGTAACTTCGGCCTTCCTGCTCACCGCCTCATATGCGACGTGCCCACAAGGTGGAACTCCACCTTGCACATGCTGGAGAGACTGTGCGAGCAACAGCAGGTGATAGCGGAGTTTCAGCTGCTGCACTCACGGGTCAGTCGCTCTGCGGAACAGCACCACCACCAATGAGTGGGCCTCAATGTGAGACCTGTGTGCCATGTTGTGCTGTTTCGAGGACTCCACCAACATGGCCAGTGCCGATGACACCGTTCTCAGCATTATCTGTTAACGTCAAACAAATCTATGTACGGGTGTAAACGTTGTTTATATAAACCATTGTAATGAAAACTGAAAATCAATAAAAATGATAAAAAAAAAAAAAGAAAGTTATATAATATTGCAGTGTCTTGCATGGGGACACTGCAATGAGTGCAGCACAAAAAAAGGTGTGGCACAAATGCTTCAAAGATGGTCAAGAATCTGTTGAAAGATTTGGCACTCTGAAGAATCTAGTTATTCCCAAAACTAAAATCACCTTTGAAAAGTAAGATTTCAGACCATCAATGATATTCCAGTAAATACAACGAAACAGCTGATGATGATTCCCACAAATGATTTTGCAGAGTGTTTTGAACCGTGGAAGAGACGCTGGGAGAACTGTGTGAGGTCCAAAGATACCTACTTTTAAGATACCTGAGGCGTCATTGTCCTATGTACAGTGTTTATTGTATATTGTATCTTCTTCAATAAATGTCTCTATTTTTCATATTACATGGCTGGGTACTTTCCGGACAGACCTTGCACACACATACTGCACATATCCCTTACTGACATGCATTCAGGGCCAGTGCAATGATTTTTGGGTACATAGGCAAAGATGCATTCCCCCCCTCCCCTCAAAAATAACATCTTCATCTATGTGCCTCTTAACCAGCCCCTCCCTGTCCATTATTGGTCCTACCTTCCCTGTCCCTTAGTGTTCTTCTCCCCTGCCCCCTCTTTCACTGTCCCTTGGTGTCTCTCCCCTCCTTATCCCTTGGTGCACCCACCACCCCCTTAGTGGTCACACTCCCCTTCATGTTGTGCTTCCTATCTCTCTTGTAGTGTTACCGAGCGGAGCAGATCCCCTACAGGAGCTTCAGTTTTCTGTACCTGGCCAGACTGACAGTGCTCTCTCAGTGAGTACCTCCTGTCAGTCTGGCTGGGTACAGGAAACAGAAGCTCCAGTACCGCGCTCCACTCCGCCACGCTACACTCAGTGGTGTACACACTGACAGTCACACACTCTCAATGACAAACACACAGATATCACTGACAGACACAGATTCACTGATTCATTGATACACACACACACACACAAACTGTCATTGAGTCTGTGTGTTACTATCAGTGTGTGTGTCAATGAGTGTCAGTGTGTGTCTGTCAAACATACTCTCACTGATTTGACACACACTCACAAACACACACAGACAGACACACACTCATACACTCACATGAACACACACTCATACAATCACTCACAGACACACTCACACATACTCAGTCACTCACAGAAACACATACACTCACACATCACATACACTCACTAATTATTATTTTTATAAATAAAAATTTTCCACCCAGCCTCCCTATATGGAGAACTGGAGTGGATCTGTCACCTGGGGTCCAGTGGGGCTGCTGGGCGGCGTGCGGCAGTGGTATAATCAGAGGCAGCGAGGGAGCTCTATTCTGCTCCCTCGTGGGCTGTCTACTGATACCGGGAGCTGGAATATGATGTCATATTCTGGCTCCCGCGGCATCAGCAAATGGCGTGCAAGGGAGCAGAGCGGGGAGATTATAGCTCCCTTGTCGTCTCTGATTATTCCACTGCCACACGCTGGGCCATGGGGTCCAGAAGGTGGCCTGGCAGGAGGGAGAGCTTCCCTCCTGCCGGTAACTGAAATCTTGTGCCTCCAGAGCCGGTGCACCCTAAGGCGGCCTCCTGTGCCGACTTATGGACACACCGGCCCTGTATGCATCCAGAGTTGTGTTGGGGACTTAGAGTGTGTATCTACAACCTTGCAGTATGAACCTGGCTGTGCTGCAGGCTAGAGCTCTAGGGTCCTCTCCCCCTCCACTGATGGCAGACGCTTTTCAGTGCTTGTGGGCTGATAAGGGAGATGCTTGATCTTCCCACTGGCCCATTGTGGCACACAGCAGTGTCCAAGCACCGACTCTGCATGGGCTGGTGGGGGAGATCCCCTGATATCTTGTGCCGGCCTCAGCCCATGGACATTGCTGCCCACTCAGCATTTGCCTGCTTTGCCTGATGGCCAGTCTGGGCCTGGTCTGATGTGTGTGGATGTGAGTGATGTATTTAGTTGGGCTGTGTGGGAAGCTTTCAGTGATGTTTGTGTCTTTGTAAGTGTATGTGAGAGATATACAAAGCAGTGAAGTATAAAGAAAATCTTTCTTAATATAAATTTTTTTAAAAAGGGTGAAGGGATGGGTGGAGGTGACAGGAATATGGGAGAGGGAAGGGATGGATGGGAGTAATTAAATGAGAGAAAGGTATGTGTGGGAGTTATTAGAGGATGCTGGGGAAGGTAGTGATATTGGGGTGTGAGAGATTGAGGTATAGGTGGAAGTGAAAGGAGTGTGGGGAGAGATGGAGGAATGTGTCAGAGGGGTAAGAGTGTGTAGGGAAAGAGATGGAGAGTCAAGTAAAGATAGGTGGAAGTGATGGGTAGTGAAGTAGGAGTGATGGGCTGTGGGAAGCTGGATGAGTGAGAGTGATGGGATGATTAGGTGATAGGAAGAGGAAGAGCAGAGATGGCTTTGTGGCAGGGTGGGTGATTATAACACTATGAAGGGTGGTGAGTTTGAAAGCTTTGGGGGTGAGTTATTGTGGCAGTGTGAGAAAGGGTGACGGAATATGGGGACTGAGAGTGTGTAGCTTGACTGACAATATGTGGGTCATCTCTGTTAGAAACAGCCTCCTCACAGAGGAGTACATTTGCCCCTCTCTTATACTTACTGCTTGTGCAGGAAGGGGGCAATAATACATTTCCTGGTGGTTTGCTGCTGGTGGATTCCTTGGTGGTCTGATTGTGCAGCCACAAGCCTCCTAGTCCAGCACTCTGTGATGATGTCAGCACACAGGCTGGAACCATGAGGGAGTTCATCTGCACCACAGACCATCAAGAAAGGAGTTTAAAAGAGCCAGAGGAGAGATCTCATTCGTCCTGCTGGCTAGCAGCTGGTCTTATCAGAATCAATTGGTGCCATGCGCATTTAAAAAGAAGTCAGTGTGTGTCTAACCTAGCTTTCTGGGTGTGTCTAACTCTGGCTTTCTTAGGGTGTGCCTGGGCATACCCTGTTCATATATCTATGCAATGTATGTTCTTACTCCATCATGTCACGTCCAGGTTGTCATTCATTAAGACAACCCGAAAGTGACATGACTGAGTAAGAACAGATTTCACTTCCGTGTGTACGATTAACCATAGAGGAAGGGTTCTGGATGTCCAGCAAATATGAAACAGCTGAAGAGCTGAATACCCATTAATATTGGAACCAGGAAAGTTTCTTCTATACCATTTGATAAAGCCCTATTGGCAAAACACATCTTGTACTTCATACAAAGAAAAGGACTTATTTGTTATTTATGTATGGTAAATTTTATAAAAAATTTTTTATTCATTTGGAATAAATCCTATTTTTATTGGAAAAGTTCTTCTATATCCTTATCTGAGAATGTATATCCTGGTTCCTGCAGGGAAGGGTCACCCTAGAAATTGACATTAAGTGAATATTTTGAGCCAGTTAGTAAATATGCTGCTAATAAGGTATAGTCAATAACTTGTATTTAAGCAGATACCTACCTGTTAAAAACAGTCTACACCCAGATTGCTGTCTCTTTGTTCCATTTCACATTGCTTGAAAGCAGGCTTTATTAAGTAGACTCTTTCAAATAGGAGTTAGAAAACCAGGAGTTCATTGGAAAGTTGTTTGTATACAATGAAGAGTGGTTTGTATGTTATTTATTTTTGTTTATTATGATTTATTAGCAAAGTTTAAAAAAAAAGGGGGGGGGGTGGTTAAAAATTATTTTTTTTTGTGTTCTGTTTTTTCCCCTCATTTGTGCTGCTGCTTTATTAATTGGGGGAGTGTTCATCAATTGCCACCTGTGTGGGATTTGTATTCCCATATAAGCGCACCCCTAACTCACTGAGCTTGCTCACATTGTTGAAAGTAAACTCTATTAAGTAGACTTTCAAGTAGGAGTTAGAAAACCAGGAGTTAAAACAATCTAGAGGTTTGACAAGGTAATTGTGTTACTGTTCTGTATCTGGGGAAATGAGTGTTAGCAAGATTGGTGGTTTGACTCAATGCACATCTTGTTGCATGTATGCATGCCTGGATGTACCCATCCAGGGTCCATACCTCTGTGATGGTTGTGTGCGAGTGGCTTTTCTGGAAGCTCAGATTGGAGATCTCGAGAAGCAAACTGCAACATTGAGGGAGATCGACAATCTTGAGAGGAGTCTGCTGCTCACTGAGCAGAGTTTAGTGGGAACAGGTAGTGGAGAGGAAGGAGATAAGATAGATGGGGAACAGACACGTAGCTGGGTGACAGTGGGATTAGGAAGCAGGAGAGAAGGGAAGAAGAAAGGGCTAGCTAGTCCTGATTTAGTGCAACCTAGCAGATTTGCCTGTTTGAGTGAAGTTGTTAGGAGCATCAGCTCAGGAGTAGCTGTATTAGAGGAAGCTGTCACTTTTAACATCTGAGGGAACAGCCCCTCTAGTACAGGTGGGGATGAAAATGTAAGGAAGGCTAGACAGGTTGTGGTGGTAGGGGACTCTATCATTAGGAA